TTCATATAGATACCTAATATTTCAGCCTGTCCACCCATCTATCCATGCATATACCCATGTTTGCCTTTACTGAGCATGTCGTATTATATGTGCAAAAGGGTTCATCTTTGTTGTCTGTACTTCCCATGTACCTCTCTATGTCTTTCTCTTCCTCAGTGCCACTATATTGATCACTCACATTTGGTACATTTCCTTTTTCTTCACCCAAATCAAAACTTATCTCTATCTATCTAACAGTATTTCCTCCCCTCCCCTCGCACCCCTGGTAACCAACAAAGAAAATGACCTTCCATAGGTAAGCGTTTCCTTGACTATTACAATAACGGACCAATACAATATTTGTCCTTTTGTGATTGACTTATTTCACTCAGCATAATGTTCTCCAAGTTCATCCACATTATGCAGTGTTTTGCAGATCCTACATTATTCTTTAGGGTTGCATAGTATTCAAATGTGTGTACGTACCATAATTTGGATATCCATTCCTCAGTTGATGGGCACCTAGGTTGTTTCCATCTTTTGGCGATTGTAAATAGTGCTGCGATGAACAGGGGTGTGCAAATATCTGTTCTTGTCATGGCTCTCACTTCTTTAGGATATACACCTAATAATGGAATGGCTGGGTCAAATGGTATTTCTAGTTCCAACTTTTGAAGTAGTCACCATATTGTTTTCCACAATGCTTGTATCATTTTACAGTCCCACCAGCAGTGTATGAGAGTCCCAGTCTCTCTACATCCTCGCCAGCATTTGTTATTTTCTGTCTTGTTGAACTTTTCTCCTAGTGCTGGAGCAAGATGATACCTCATGGTTGTTTTGAGGCAAATGGTTTTTTGATTCTTAGATTTCTCATATATAAAATGACTACAAGGAGCTTGATGGCATAGTGCCTAAAGCATCTGACTGCTAACCAGAAGGCTGGTCATTCAAACGCACCAGCCACTCCTCAGAAGGAAGATTGAGCAAAACACTAGCTTTGTGTAAACTCCAAAGCACTAGGAATGCTGGATATTTGCATTTAATATTAGAAATGTCTATGTGCTTACTTTATAGGCTTCAAAATACTTCTACTAACATACTTTACTTATCACTATAGCTTCTTTAGAGAAAGAAGAAACTACACTGGAGATATATATCTATATATGTTGTGGCTGTGTGCCGTCAAGTCAGACCTGACTCAGGAACTCCTCCTTGGGTTTCTGAGGTAGTATCTCTACAGAAGTAGATTGCCCAACCTTCCTTCTAAGGAGTGGCTGGTAGGTTTGAATTGCCAGCATTCTGGTTAGCAGTCAAGTGCTTAGGCACTACACTACCTGAACTCCTGCCATTGGCTGGACACTATCATTATCATTCTTCTCTCCATGGGATTTCATTATATGATTTTGACTTAATCTCAAATCATGGTTTAGTTTACCAAAGTCATGAAACTTGATTATATTATTTTCATCAAATGCTTCAACATCGATGACAAAAACAAACAGCTACACACTGAATTGGCAAATTCTAACATTGCAATAGCCTTAGTAAGGCATCTAGTGGTTATATTGTATATATTCTAATTCATGGCCCTTCTTTGTTTGCTGGGATATATCTAAGGTTTTAAAAGCTATTAGAATTATTACCTCTGACAGGGGTCAATTATATTAATTTCTTCTGTTCATAGTGATCCCCACTGTTTTTCAGGGGTGGTAAATCTTTCTGGAAGTAGGTTGCCCCATCTTTCTTCCATGGAATGGCTGGTGGGTTTGAACCTACAACATTCTGCTTAGCAGTCATATGACTTAGTCACTGTGCCACCAGAACTCTTTGTAGTTCCGTAATGTTCCTAATAGTTCTCTTAAAAAATACTTTGTTGGCATTTGGTTTCTTGAATCACTTGAGATCCTTTTTAAAAGAGACAACTTTGGACCCTTTGGTATAGACATTGTTTCCAAGGCCGTATCTCTATGGAAGTAGATTGTCTATACCACATTTTTATATACATCCCGTGCAGATTACAAATATCTCCTTGTTGATATTTTAAGTTTCTGTCTACCTAAAACATAGTGCTTTTATGCACAAACTACAGAACAGCCCCAGCTTGCAAGTGAGCTATATTTTTTTTAGGAGTCTGACATAGTACTTCATAAACTCTATAAAATTCAGATAGTAGGCTATAAATATTTATGTCAAGGACACTTTTTCTTTTTTAAAAATTGTTCTTTCCTCTTTCTGTGAATCATCCTTAACGACCAGAGAAAGATTAAATGCTATGCTATTAAATAAACAAAAATAACTCAACTTTTCTTTAACTTTTTACAGAAGGGAAGAAAGCTAAAATGAAAGAAAAGACTGAAGAAAAGACTAAAAAGGAAGTGAAAGGTGGAAAACAGGAGAAGGTAAAACAAACAGCTACAAAAGTAAAAGAAGTACAGAAAATGCCACCCAAAGCCAAAGCCAAAGACAAAGACGACAAAGAGGTTGCCCCTGTGTCAAAGCAAGAACAGAAAGGTAAACATTGAGAGGAGGAGGCTGCCAGAGGTTCTAAGAGGATGTTGGGCAAGACACAGATGCAATGAATAAAAAGCTGACAAAGACTAAAATCAAACTTCAAATGGGGGTAACAAACATATTTAAGTAAATATACCTGGATGGAAATATAATAAATTAAGAATTAAAATTTCTTAATAGCAATACAAATATATGTTGACATATCTAAAAAATGCATTTTGAATTATTTTTAAAAGAAGATTTGAGCTAGGATCTGAAACTATTTGAAGATTTGAGTAATTACAGAATTCTTGTGTGAAATTTCTATAAAGAAGTGCAACAAAAAAGGTACTGTTCTTTTGGAAAACAGCAGTCCAGGAAAAAGAAAAATTTTCAAAGACCTTTATAATTAGTGTGTGTGCAGGTCTATGGAATAAATATCATGTTATTTGTTATTGTTATATGCCGTTGAGTTGGACCCGACTCATAGCGACCCCTCCTTGG